CGAGGTCTTGATCTGACTGATTGGGTCATTGCTGGTGGCAGTGATCGATAGAACTAGCTGAGAGACAGGCGAAACGAAGGACCAGCATGGTATGGGAATGAAAGCGTTAGCCCTCGGAAAGGGTAATAGCGCGTTCGTTTCCCACCACAGACACCTGCGGTCTACAGTTTTGCAAAATATCAGCATCATAGAAGTTACATCTCGGTTGTGCTATGCGCATCTAGTGGGATGGTTGGTCTCAGTTTAAATTTGCCGACTAGGTGCTCTTTTAGGCGGATGCCGAGCGGTCTACCCATTTCGCCAGCGTATTCATCGCCACGCTCTTTGCAAAAAGCTAGGTACACCGTACCCAAACTCATGTAATCACCGTCTTTACCGTTAGGGAAAATTATACAACTGCATGTTTCGCAGAGACGGTCATGTAGGCGGTTACGAACTAGCTGTCGCCTGAAAGTGTCAGATGGTATTTCTATCACTATCACCGAATTCTTTAGACTGGCCTTTGTTACGCAGCTTTTTGTAACTACACTTATTCTGAAGGAGATAAAGGGTAAGATAAATGGAGCCTTGTTCTTGCTAGAATTATCGTTTCGCGTCCTGATTTTTCCTATATGCCTATGCCGAGAAGTTACAGTTTCGTAACCATCAAAAATGGCTGTTTGACGCTCCAATTTCAAGGATTCCACCTTCTGCTCTCTACCTGTAGCGGTTCGAAACATATTTCTTACAAGTGCCCTTTTGGCCTGTGAGGGTTGAGAAGAGAGGTAATGAACCACTATGTTTTTACTACTTGGATTTCGGTAGCATTTTGTAATGTAACCGTTTTCGGATAGCTTTTCGGATTCGCTGTGACTGTTCGTTCAATAACTCAAAGGGTTTGTTCATCTCCTTTTGTGTGGAGCAGATGGCAAAACGATCATCTATATACCTACAGTACAGTAATGGCCTGAGATCGATTACTGGTGCTTCCACTTTAGGCATAAAGGCAACGGCAAGGGTCGGTGCCGGTCGCTGTCCCATTGCCAACCCTCTAATTTTCGCGTAATATTTCCCGGACCATCTGAAGATCGAGCAGTTTAAACAGACCTTTAGGAGGACCATAAGCTGCTGAATCGAAAAGCCATACATGTTAATTGCTTCTCCGTGTTGCTCAAGAAGCTCGCGGATGGCTTGCATTGGGGGATAGCTTTTCGGATTCGCTGTGGCGAGTCGTTCGACACGTTAGTGTAAAGGGCGGTAACGTCGAACGACTTGATAACGTACGCGCTCTTGGGACGTGCGTTACGCAGACGATCTACGAACATTTGGGTGTTCGTGAGATGAACTGTTATGTGCTTAAGCAACTGGTTGAGAATTATGAACCAAGCAATTCTATCTGTAGGCCCGTCTACACAACTGATGATTTGTCTAACCTTGAAGGTGGAGGGGTCGGTAAACGGTGGATCATCAGAGTATACTAACTTACAGGTTTTGAAAAGCAAATTTAAGAGGGGACATGTTGGTACTTCGATCTTATGATGAGAAATTCCAGATGGTTTTAAACCTGTTGCGCTTGCCACTGTGACCCATTCGTTGTTCAGTTTTCGATGCTGACCTTTGTATTCCTTTTCAGTTGATGCACGATAAAGAGAAGCGTCTTCAGGATGTTTTTCCGTTATCCCAACATCTAACTGGCGAGGAATTACCACAAACTATCCACTTTTGTCGCTAACCGATAGTTTAGTAGTTTTTGACTTTATTAGTTCTCGAGCCTTGACACACCAGATTTCTGCACTGCTGCAAGGTTGGAACTAAACTTTCTCACGCGATAGTGGCTAAGGACTTTGAAAGTTTCGCTCGAGAACATGCGAAATTTGCTATTTACTTCGTCGTTAGGGTCTTGTTGTCTAAAGAACGATCGAGAGAAAAGAGGTGGTGGTAATGATCCTACTTCTCGTCGCTCCTTTCTATTTCATGTTTCAATTCTAGCGTTGCTGCGAAGTCGATCTTGAAGCTCGTGCAAAGTGCATACCATCCTACACAAGGTTTCTTTAGAAATGGATTGCGCTGGTTAGAAACTTGAAACCAGTTCTGATAGTGTCTGGTGATCACGCGTGACCTAGCGCCATACCTCAGGCTGATTCTACGAGCTGATGCAAGCACATTCCTCACCCATGGTTTTGTACAGCTGCTCTCCACCAATTGATTGGAATACTTGCAAACACTGTGGGTGTTTAAAAAAGGCTGCTTATTATGCGAATGCAAATTTATCTGTTAAGTCTTATTTGCTAAGGATTTGAAAGTGTTTGTTTGAGTACACTGCCTGCCTATTTGACCTTTCCGAGCTCTGAAGAAGGCGAAGCCGCCAATACGTCAGCTATTGTGCGCTAATAAATGGTATAACACCAACCTCGTGTCTGTTGACTAAAGAACAACCGTGAATATTCAAAAGTGAAGCTTTGGCTGGATCAACAGTTATGAAGTTCCTGAACACTTTTTTCTCCTAGGAAGACAATTATGCCTCGATAAATCTAATACAAGCGTCTTCCTGGATGAGTTGCCGTTCTGGAGGAAACTCTGGAACATAGCGAAAGGATCTCCCCAAATTTTGAACCTGAGTGCCTAATTACAATAAAATATCCCCATATTCTCTTAAACGCAACCAGTCTCTTTGGTGAGTACCCTCTTCTTCACCAAAGGTGTCTCTCCAATGAAGTAAACTGCAAAGATGAACAGAAACTGAAAATGCTGACAGAAGCTAATGGGGTTGTATAGAGGATCCCAATCTCATGCCTGGACTTCACCAACAACGATACCAGGATGATGAAACCTTTCTCACATTCATGATAAATAATTGCTACACACAGAAAGCCAACAGAGCTCATCAACGTCCACTTTTCTTCATATTACACCAAGTCTTCCTCTTTGCGAAACATCGAGGTGTCTCAGTCGGTGAAGAACAACAAACCCCTCGCTCCGGGTAGAATTAGGACGAACATTTAGGAAGCCTACCACCAGTCCTCCTTAACAGCCTAACATTACCTATCAATGCGGGTCTCCCGCTCAATAGAAAGCTGGAAAGGTCATGAGGCACAAGAGAGATATGCAACAGGCAATTGCTCAATCTATCTGCTGTTTGCCGCCAAACAGTTTTTCTTTAAAATCATTCTGAACAGCACCAAGAGTATATCGTGAGTATGAGAGCCATAACATTTACCAAAGGTCTGGGAATGGTACACAACTATGGACCACATCCATACGAAAACCAAACTCATCTAAGTACTGTACACGATGGCACCTTGTCTTATTTTCTGACCTAAGGCTTTCGACTCGTTTGAGAGGAAAGCGGCCACGGAAGCTCTGGACAGCGCGGATATCTCTGCCCAGCAATCAAAAACCCATCATGAAATTATTATCAGCGTATAAGGGAGTCGCATCTTGGTCTCTGAGAACGTACTTGCACTATTTATTGTCGAAAGCATTGTGTGCGTAGTGGAATGGGATAACGAGAGACTGCGATTCAATGGGTGGAAGATACACCAAATTCACCTTATTGAGTTCTTATAAAATCAAACAATTGCCCGAATGCTGGCGGATTTCGACAGTGTGCGTGTTTGTCGAAAAGTCGGTCTAGGGTCAAATCATGAGAAAACGATGTTCATAAGGAATAGATTTATCTTCAAACCTGATTAGAACTCAACGAATGGGCACTTATCATCAATGGTCTAAGCCACTGTACACGGCCGTGCATGACACATGCACAGTCTGAATACATATGAAATCCTCATCGGCTCACCAATTTTGATTGTGAACGCTTTTGTTCGTTCAATATTCACATGTTATAGTTTTTGACTGGCTCGAAATCTTGGCTGTATCATAGTAAACTCGGATAACACAACTTACTCAAGCGAGTAATGATAGTATTAAACTCTCTTTTTCAGACGAACTTCGAAAGGAATCTGGAAACCATCATAGTACTAAAAAAGCTGGCTTCAGCTTCTTGCCGTTGAAGTGGGCATATCGAAAATCTATTCTCTGAAGTTAACGCAGATTCTACTTTCTAGAAAATTCGACGTATTAGGCGCTATTCGACGTGGACGAGTTTTCAGGCACTATGCGACGCGAGTCAACCACATCCAGACATCGATCGAGAGTTAGCGAATGCGGTACTGACACTTAATTTCCTGAATACGGTAGCAATTGGGACATATCTGCACTACGCTAAGAGATAGCGCCACGATGTGTAGAGGATGCCATGGGGAATTTTTTGGCGGGTTTTCGTGCTATCGTCTTAAGTGATGAGGAAAGGCATCTGTGAGTGTGTGCGCCAGTGAAAGAGAAAGAATAAGGGCTTGCAGGGACGAATACCAGCAGGAATAACTTCTCCGTTCCCACAAGGATCCTTTCAACAGCGATAGCTGCGAAGTTTTTTCGTTCTTTTTGATCTGCACCTTCTGCGGAGTACGCCGTGCAGAAACGTGCTCCGCTCGCGGCCAAGGCAACCGCCCGCGACGTAGCTCATTGCTCGCATCGATTTACCAGCCATCCGGGTTTCTCATGATGTTAACGAATTATTTGGTTTCTTTCCTGGTTATACTTGATGGAGAATTCCTGGCGTGTGTTAAGGACTTTTCTCCCAACAGTTGTTCTTTAAGGAGTCTCGAACTATCGTTCTGTTCTTCAATACTAGCACGCTTTGCTTTTGCCTCAACGCCGACTCAGTACAGAAGAGGTATGTTGAACTCTTTGAATATCCATTGAAAGATTTTGGCATTCTACAGTTTAGCGTTTTTAGACATCTTAGGGATATCGTATTGTGCTTTCTTGGCTCTCTATTGTTTTTTGTGGAATTCGTTACCGAGTGTATAGAACGTCAGCGGAATGTAAAGATTTAGGGTAGGCTTTAAGCGCATAAGGGTCACCTATTGTTCCTAACTTTGCTCTAAATTGAAGGGTTGCTAAACAAATGACCGTAGTCTTCTTAGCTATAAACTTGTGGAAGTAGGAGAAAATTGCGAGAAATGTTAACACAAATCATGGATCAATTCCAGCTTTCATGTTCTGTGGTGTGCGGTCGAATTGAATTGAAGCTTGAAGTCATTTTACCATTGTCGACGATGAGTTACGGTGGTTACGGAAACCGTGGCTATGACTATCACCAGAGAAGAGAGCGCATTAATGAGGATGAGGTTCCCGAGTCGAAGCACACCATATTCATTCGTGGTTTGCCTGGCGACATGTCTACGGACGAGATCAAGTTCGTTACATATGTTTAGTCGTGGTCTGTTTTGTAGGTAGGAATCCTTGATCCTAGAAGTCCTCTTCTCAAGTTTATTGTTATTCTCCAAAAAAATTATAACGCGTAATATTTCCAGCTATAAAAAACTCTTGATTTGATGATAATCGATATTTAATGAGCGTCAAATAATTGGAGGAGATTTTCACGAACGCTGTTGGACGTTACTCTCTTCCCTATCCTATTGCTCTGTCTTATTGTTTGCCCTTTGGATAGAGTTTTGCAATCGTTCACTAGGAAGGTGCCCTGTGCATCGCGTTAATAAAATTCGTTCATTTCACAATGTTTTCCCGTAAGGTGAGTGACAGTGAAGAATAAGCGCTAGCACATACGTATTTGCAGAGCTATTCCGTTGTACTGTAGTGCATTGCAGGTGGTAACCCCTCTAATTTAGGGAGTATTTCGAGGATCGCATTGGACCAGTTTCGTTCGATTTTGTTAAAACAAGTGCTGATCAGCAGCGTCTGTTCGTTGCTGTTCGTTTCGAGACAAGAGATGATGCGAAAGAAGCAATGAGCAAGTGAGCCTCTCTACAGTGTCCTTCTCTGAAAACATTGTCCTTGGAATCGCGTTAATTACTGCTTTAGGTACAGCGAAAATGATTTGATGGGTCACCGATGTGAATTAAGTTGGTTCAAGGACATTCGCAGATATGCCCAGTATCAGAATCTTAATCAAAGTAGTACATTGGACAGGTTTTCAAACTATAGTGAGCCTTGGTTAGCTGGTAAGATTTTAGGGCGAGGAAGGCAGATGTTTCGTAATAGAACGTATCAGCATAACGGTGGCAGAGGAAGAGATTCGTGAGTGCTTAAAGCATATTCAATTGTTTCGCAAATAATGCGATTTCAGCTTATTTGAAAAGTTATGCTTTAAAGTTGGTCGCAGAGTGATCTTGAACCTGATTTTGATGTTTTCATTGTTTTAAACTGTTAAGCAAAGGTCAGTCATAGTTTTGGTTCTATGTACTGTTGCTTAGATACTGGTTCTATTGGGTGTTACGGTTCTAACTGAAGAGATCTCTTTAGATTTAAAAGACGATATTCTGAACGTGACGACGATAAAAGTCGATCTCGGTCGAGGGACAGAGGTCGTTCGTCTAGTTACAGTCGATCGCCTAGTGCAAGGTTGGTGTTCGCAGTCGAATTGTTATGTTTAGAAACTAGACATTCCGAGTAGATGAAAGTGTACACATTATTTTCCATTTCTCGTCTTAAATGATGACAGCCTCGCAACGGTTTACCGCTTCGTCATAGCTGGGAGGTGTTTCTGGGTGTTGGACTGGGACGTACAACAGGGGCATTCATCCCCCTGACAGCCACTCAAACTGAGGAGGCGGGCGTTTCCATCAGGAAACCCAGTTAAGAGTTAGCCAGTACCAGAATCCACCATCGTCCTGGTGTCATACTAATCACATGATGGCAAATTTCCCTCTGGTCCACAAGGGTGGCAATTGGTTGTGGTGGTTATGACCTGGCGTAGACTTTGGCTTGGCTGTCCTCTTGACTCCAAGGAACCACAGTGGCTAAACCAGCAAAATTTCGAAAACAGGGTAATTCTGCTGGGGCCCGCACAACCCGTGAAGATGGGCCATCCAAATATCCAAGTAGTTAAGCGGTTACATTGTCATCAAATATGAGACCAGATGTAGTTTTATCACTTGAGATGGCGAAAAGATGCACCTATATAGAAAATATATTATAGGTACAAGATATATGCTTGTGTTTAGAAATTGGCAGCGTCGGCTTCACCTTATATGTTGTTTCTAGCTAATTTAAGTGTTCGAAAACCCAGTAGTTTTCATCTGAGTTTGGATCAATACACTTCTTTCGTTCTGGAGTTTCCTGCGTTGGTGACTTTGCAAACACGCTTTAATTTGTGGATGGTATTGTGCTTATTTTAGATAAGCCATTTAGTATTCTTTTGCAGTCCAGGTAGATTCTGCTTCTTTATTGTGCATTCTTCGTTTCGTGCCTGTTTTTAAGATACCTTGCGATTTTTCTCTGCGGTCCTTTTATTTCCTCACTGTGTCGTATGATTTATTTATTTTTCTTACTGAAGTCTGGACTGCATTGTCTTACTGGCTTACAGATCTGGTGAGTCGTCGCGGACTCGTTCCCATAGCAGTGAGCGTGGCGCCAGTGAAGAGCGCAATCGGCGATCCCCATCACCTGATTCGAGCTCTGACCAAGGTATTGGTCGTGAAAAAGACAAGGAACGGGATGGAGATCCGGAGAAAAAGCGCCGCAAGAAGGACAAGAAGAACAAAAAATCGTAAACAACTTACCCATTTCATAACTTTCGATTGTGGCGATTTTCGAAATACTGTTTTGTAGAAAGAAAAAGAGAAGCAGGACAGCGTCGCGTAGCTCCTCTGAAGAACGTTCTTCGACGCCGGAGCGTGCAATATGTATAGTTTTCGCTATTGTTGAATTTTAATTTTCCAGCTTTTCCAGCTCTTTACAATTGTAACTAAGAGTCGTATTCTTAAGTTGGACGTCATGCTCCAGCTGGTTCACCTGTTTCGCCAAATCAAGAAGATTCGCCGACTACTCCAGCTGCTCCTGTTCCCGCAAACACAGAAGCGGAACCCGTGTCTTCTCCGGCTCCTTTGCCTCCAGCAAATCCCACACCAATTACTGTCCGTTTTCCGCTTCGCAGCCAAAATCCTGCTAATGTCATTAGCAACACAACATTCGCAATTGGCATTGATTCGGTATGTCAATACCTACCTTCGAAAAGAAAATTACACTGGAATGAGTTTTTATCATGGACAACTTCATAAAAATTAGAATGTTTGGTTTTGGAACTAGGGAAATATTCGAGACCTTTTACAAAGTCGTCACTTTTTATTTACTACATATCCTTTCTTCCGAGTGGTTCTGATACCACCTGTAGATTAAAAGACGGCTTAGAGAAAGACGAAACGAAGGACCCGCACGGTGTGATGGTGAACACGTTGTCCTGCGGAAAGGATAATAGCGAGTTCGATCTCCAGCGCAGACACCTTGTGTCCGGAGTTTTGCAAGTATCTCAGCATCGCTACCGCTTACGTATTTCGGATTTTCCATCATGAACTGGTTTTGTGGCATAGGGTCATCACAGTTTCATGTTTTAATGGGCTTTAATCAAACTTTTGACTTGCGATGATCGTAACAACTGAAAGTGATCGGCGCTTTGGAAACTTTTAATCTCAATGGCTTAAGTTCCATATCGTTCTAGTTCTGAATGAACAGTTTTGTAAATGCGACTGTCGATGTAAATGCTCCGTCATTTGAATTTCTGCAGCAGTTTTCTTTTCTCAAATCCAACTAGGAAATATTTCCCTTATTTGTACTAAACATCAGGATGAGCTACCGCGTCGAGTGCTTCGTCGGATGTCTCCAAATGCCCCCATGGTAACTCCTCCTTCTGTTGCCGCTCAAGAGGAGGAGAAAATGCCACAAGGTAACATGTTTAATAGTTCATTAACGCGGTCCCGGAAACAGTATAAATGTCTAATAGAGACAAAGTTTTGTTAACTAAGGTTAATCATTGGTGTGGTGGTGGCACAAACAATAGGCGGTTTATAGTTCCTTTATAGAAACAGTTGGGTATTAAGACATTCTTGATTTATTGCTGTTCTGATTGTTTTTAAACCTTTGGACAAAAGTTGGTTTTCCTCCATACGATTTTGATATCATTTTGTCGTCCGCATTCTAGATATGCCGTCGAAGGATTCGCAACAGAACGTGGTCACAACAATTGGCCTTCCACCTCCTCCTTGTCCGCCCTCATTCGCATCTGAGAAAAAGTTCGTTGGGATTATTTTTAAACTCATTTGAAATTTTTCTGTACTGTGTATTCTTTTCACAATAGTAGGAAGTTTCTAGTGAGTGTTTCTTACCAGGTTATGTTTTCTTTAAAAATTGTTTCATGTTGGACATCAGGTTCTGTTGAACTCTACGCATAATACTTAGGATATTTTAAGGCAAACTTGGCAGTTTATACCTTTATTCGCTAGTTTTGAAGAACCAATATACTATGCCAGTTTGACATTAGTTTACTGTTTGTTTCGTTACTTTGAGGTTAGTGGAATCGAATGACGCGGACTCAGAAACGCAAAACAAAAAGTCTACAACTCCTACACCTGACCCGCCAGTACCTGTTTCGATGCAACAAAATGCAACTTGCATACCAACACCGCCTGTGACCACCTCAGTATCGGTAGACTTAGCTGTTTTCTTTTGTGACAATCGTTACTGTAATCTTTGTCTTCTAGTGTGATGGCGCGCCTGCTAAGTCACACCCATCTCGCTTTCCAACATCTGCTCGATTTTTCGCTTCATTGAAAGAAATACAGTCGTCGATTATAAAAACTGTGAAAGCTGAGCCGAAGTCAGATGAAGGTAATTGGCTTTTCATCATCCTTCGCTCCAAGCCACTTTATGGCTGTTAGGTATACTTCAAAAAAGAATTTGAAAAAGTTTTCCAGCGTCGGGAGGTTTGCGTTTGAGTAATCTTGCAATGCGTCAGCAGGATGCGGATGAAGAAAAGCGTGCAGTCAGAGAAAGTCGGCTTTCCAAGTTGGATGAAATATCTCTGGAAAGGTTTATGGTGAAAAAGAAGAGACTAGAAGAGGTTTGTCATACTGTTTTAGTGCTTAGGCATGATAACATGATTGCAGGGAATTAATGCAACAGTTTGTGACGTATATAAGATACGGACTATTTTTGTACGCTTTAATTCTATCTGTCTCTATACAGCGATCGATAACCTCTTGCAGACTTTCCGTGGAGACTGCCAAACTTATGCGTTCGTTGCCCGAAAGCTCATTGAGAAAGATCCATCACTGGAGTCACAACTCCGTATCGCGTTAATTGAAAATATGGAGGATCTCGAAAAGCAAGTGTATGAACAGGTTGATGCATACCTTGACACTGTGTGTGACTAGCTTCAGTGGGATTTTTATTGTTGACTTTTGATCGTTACAACACTCTTGATTTTCAGTTATTTTGCAACAGTATTTCAGCTGTGTTAAGTGTGTCTCTACGCTTCACATAAAACTTTTAAAAAACAGTGGTTTTTTCGACACCTTGAGTTCCTTCTAATGGATATGTAAGGAACGTCCTTCTATCTAGATAGCTTGATGTCGTATTAAAGAGAAGAACTGGTCATTTTTATGTAGGCTTGCTGTGGATCATATCAGTCATATAAATCCAGTCTAAACAGGATTACCAGAACACGGAGCGGGTTACAATCATGTGAACAACTAGGGTTTAAAAAGGATTCAGTACGCTAGACCACACCCACATGATAACAATGCTTAGTGATGGGCCCTGGAAAGTCAGGGACTCCATTCTCAGTATATAAAGATTCTTCATGAGTTTTACAAAAATTTCAGAACCATGATTTCACCTTCTACTACGATATTAACATCAACCTCAAAAGGTGGGTTAGGGAAAGCGATACCATTTCGACAAAATCATCGCTATCCTCAATAACGTCTTGCGAACACTGGAATGGGACAACATGGTAGCGAGAAACGATGTTCGATAATTACATCATCTTCGCTTCACAGATGACATCGTTCTGAAAACACCAAACATCGGCCAAACTGACCGAATGCTTGCCGACTTTGATAAAGCATGTGGAGAAATTGGTCATCGGCTAAATCTTACCAAAGCGATGTTCATGAGGAACGGTTTGGTTTCGCATGCCCCATTCACGCTCAACGGAACGAATATCTCCAAATGCTCCATTTATTTTTATCTAGGTCAGGAAATTAACATGTTAAAGACTTAGCTGCAGGGTTGAGCAGAAGGAAACGAGCGGCTTGCGGAGCTTTCAGTAGTATTGAGGACGTAGTGAAGAGAGCAAAGCACCTGACGCCGTGCATACTTTTTGACTCTGCAATTCTTCCTGCTTTAAGGTAAGCGTCCAAAACCCGGTCGCTGCGTAAGCAGGATGAAAGATCACTCGAGGTTGTTGAAGACGCAGTCGAAAGGACGATGCTAGAGGTATCTTGTGTCATTCAATTGAGAGAGGAAATCTACAGTTTTGGCCTACCACTTGACGATCAACGAGACGACAGATGATAAAGGTGATACATGGGAGGCAGAAAAAGGGCACAAAGACGATAATAGCATAGATGGGAGGATCTCCAGAAGTAGAAATTTCATTGAATCGATTAGTATGGAACTTCTAGATATTTTCAGTTGTCCGAGGAAGGCATTTCTGCTCCGATAAATGGCATATGAATGTCTTCCTGGATGTGTGACTGCTCTATAGTAAATCTTTGCTTGTGTGCGAAGAACATGAAAGGATTTCCACAAAAGGTTTTCCAATAGAACAAGGAAAGATGACAAGTGAAGGTCCGGTAGAATGAGAACGTTATAATGATGATCAAAGGGAAAGACAGCAGAGGCATCACTATGATGACGACAAGGCATTACGGGACATGTTTGGAACTACGGGTTATCTGCGATGAGGAAAACTTTTTTTTCGGACCCCATTTTAGAACTAACAAGTAGTTCGTTAATTTCTTCCTTTTTGTAGCTTTGCCTTTCCATAGTTTTTGGGACTGTAGGTTGCAAAGGTTCTAAATTGCGTGTAAAACCGGTAAGTTTTAAAAATTGTGGATTACCACGATTCTAAATTATTTGTAAAAAGTGCTAATCGTAGAGGCGATTATCAGAAGTGTAGATTGTAAAATGGATAACTTTGAATGGCTACCTCGCTCTCTTTAGGAGAAATTTTTCAGCAGACGTCGGGTAATACATCTATACTACCTGCAGATCCATACAGCTCCCCTAAGTGGTAGCGTGAAGGCAAAGGCGTCGAAACTTTAGCCGAATAAAAGTTTTGTACCAACCTCGTGTTATCACAGTCATGAAACACGTCATTCATGATTGTTGCCTCCTACGTCCAGCGTTGAGAGTGATGCTTTTGGAAATGCTAGTTACCATGAATGATCTTGTTCTTCATGATAAACTCGGAGAGCCGCTCTTTCTTGTCACTCTGCTCACTCCATTCTAATCCGTGGGTTTCAATGTAACGTTCTTCAAACGTCCTTCTGGGTCTAATCTTAGCGTTAGCATCCCCAATGATGACCTTTAAGAATGTATGGGATTCTCTGTAGAACATCTCCACGTCCACATTAGAACGCTCAGACTTCGTCATCATCACAGTTTGATATCTGTACGTAAACGACGAAGATTGTTAAAAACCGGTGTTGGTCCACATATCTTCAATCGTACACGTCAGATCCGGGTTGATAGTTGTTCGAATGAATCGATGTTCATTGCCAAACTCGTGCTGACGACGCCGCCGACTCCTGTACTGTCGCATGTTTCGAGGAACAGTTCTTCTCCGGTGTCATGGACGGCATTGAATGGGTGGTGTCTTCCTGTCTCAGTCAGTCTGATGACGTCGTATATCATTCTTCCTGTCTGCACGATCGTTTTCCATTGAAATCCAGCTGCAAGCGTTCACGCATTGTAGGTACGGAACGCCATCTTAGTACTTTGCGATTTAAGTAGCTCAAAGTAGCCCTGAGATTTTAGCAGCCTCCCCGCACTTGTCCTAACCATCACTGCCGTATCGATGGTTCTTTCGGGGTCAAAGGAGTGAGACCCGTTCATTTTGCTGTATTTAATGTTTGATACCTTTGTACAGCCGGAAGTGGTGGTCATACTCATGGATAGCTTACCACTCTCTCTATCTTAGTAGATGAGGGGCTTATTCGCTATGGGCGACTACCTCTTCGATGGATTTCCTAGATTTGTTCCTGTACATGTTCGATTGCAGGCTTCTGGCCGAATTGACTCAGAATACAATACACACAAGTAGGAACACACCCATATACGCGTGCTTGAATACGTCCTCGTGAACACACAATGCGTGTTACAAATCTGCACAGCAGGAGTAAAGGAAATTCATCTCCTAGATACAATTTTATCCCACGTAAGCAGGGGTCGCTTTTGGTCCGCTGTTAACTCCTTATCCGCCAGCTGGGGACGCTCCACGTTGTTCGACTCGAATAACCGGCATGCAATCCTTTTATGAGGAAGATGCGTGGATACAGTAGATATAATATAATAAATTAAGATACAATTACTATATTAACATTAATATTTTGACATTAGTGCTGAAAAGCATTTGTGCTGGAATAGAGTCGATTTTCTTTATTATATGTTCATAAAGTGGGCAGGAACTGGGTCGTCCTTGCTGCGTAAAAGAAGCGGAGAACAGACCGCGATGAAGAACTTTCTCTCTCTGAAATCAGTTTCTCTGATTTTCTTTCTCTCTCTGAAACCCATTTATCGGGCATTTCTCACCATCTTATTGGAATTTGTCGCATGACTAACTGTGAGTTTTTCTGCGACCTCTCGACTAGTTTCCAGAGGGTTGGCTTAACCTCATGATTGTCATCCTCAACTACTGGTAGTCGACAACGAACTTTATTAGAAAAGCTTATACTCGACAGCAATCTTTCCAATCCGTTTGGGCTGCGCACGCCTCTCAGATTTCATGTTTTGGTGGATATTCTAGTTGCTACTATGGCAGTACCTCTAAGCGTGAACTTATGAAGCAGAGCGGTAGACATGTCTTGCGGTGAGCGGTGAGTCCACCATTTTAACCAGCCTAAAATCGTTATAAATAGGGTGTTAGAAGAAGGTTATATCGTAAATAGTTGATCGTTTATGTAGTCTTAAATGGTGCACAGCAGCAATATCCCAAACAAATATGTTCTGATAAAATGCATAACTGCAAAACTGCCTTTTTCTACTGAACGTACTACCTACGTTCACACTAGCACAGCTCACCTACGCATACCTGGACAGGCGTACGCATACACAACTGGTATAGATCAGTTTGGTCTCTGCATTATATAAGGCATGAAGTGAAGTGAATAATCCTAGTGTTTGGGTCCATATAATGGCTAGCGAAACCCCTGCAATTAACGGGCATTGGCTCGATCGCACACTCTGTGTAGACCAAGTCCTCCAACAATTCGAAGTCTGCGGATCGGTACCAGACTCATTTGGTAAGATAAACACGCGATTAGGATATATTGGTGAGACGCCACAAGCTATTGTACACTTGAGACATACCCTGAATCACCTCTACGAAGTTTGCTGAAGTCGAATGCATGGTGCATCCTAAAGGGGATGAGAAAAGCTGAACTCTTCATCTTTTCTACAACCGACTTTCTATTAACCTCGGCATCGATCAAATAATTCTTTATAATCTTGTTGTACAAACGCTAGATGTTATCTTACTCTTTATTCTGGTAAAGCTGGCGTTTAGGCGGATTTCGCCTTCCTCAGTGCCTGGAAAGGTCCGGTTGATCGCAATGTACCCAGCCAAACACTTCCATAACCAAACAGAGAATGCTAAAGCAAGATTTCATAGCTTCTTTGCACACTCACAGCTTTCTGTGAGTCTTCCACTGAATACGTTACGTGGAGACCAACGGCGCAGAGTTCACATGGACGTGCCCCGGCCACATTAGAATAAGCCTTAAATACTGTCCAATATCACGCGTTATTATGAGGCATTCCTCCCTGCGGTTCATTTTCGGATTCTTGGAACTAGCCTAGAATACCTCGAGAGTTTTGCGCGCCGATGTTTTCGATATGTACGAGGATGTTAACTTCTACTTCAAAATTTTTCCCGTTATATCTCTGTCTGTCTTGATCGTTTCCATCCTTTAATTCCGATTTTTGCATGCCCATCAGTGAGCACTCGGGCCATGTTCTAAACTGCCCGTTATGGCGCTGGTGCAAATAACTTTCTAAAATGTTTTTTAAAACCGTAGAAGTCGATCACACTCAGCTGGTCTTTATAACGATGTGGTTACTCGTCTGGCTCTCAAAAGGTCGAAGACGTCGGAACGTTAGCCGATTAAACTTTTTAATCAAGCTCTCTTTATAACAGTTCCCAAAATCG